GGGTTTAGGGTGTAGGGGTTTAGGGTTTAGGGGTTAGGTGTTTAGGGGTTTAGGGTTTAGGAGTTTTGGGTTTAGGGTTTAGGAGGGGGCCCTGATAGACTACCCTTATATAGTAGGTTCCTTGTGATAAGGACCCCAAAAGAAGGTACCCCAAAATAAGGTACCCCCCAAAAGTTTCGGAAAGTCCCATTTTGGGCATTGAGGGTTCTGGGGGCTTGAGGTCAACTGTTGAAGCTTTGGGGTTCCCGGGTTTGGGTTTGGGGGTTTAGGGTTCGGGGCCTGGGTTTGGGCGTGGGGATTTAAGAGTTCAGGGTTTAGGGTTCGGGGCCTGGGTTTGGGTGTGGGGATTTTAGAGTTCAGGGTTTGGGGTTTAAGGCTAAGGGTTTAGGGTTTAGGGTTTAGGGTTTGGGTTTGGGGATTTTATAGAGTTCAGGGTTTTTGGTTTAGGGTTTAGGGTTTGGGGTTTCAGGTTTGAGGGTTCAGCAGGCTTAAGTGAGTTAGGCAGATGCTTGGATTTTTTGTCGAGCCCTAGATTACTGGGCTCTGCCGGTAAACCCTAAACTGAATCTAAGACCTGAGCCCTCAACCCTAAAACTTTCCGTAACCCTAAACCCTAAAGCCCTACACCCTACGACCTAATACCATGAAGCCGCGAATCCATAACCATGAACGAAGCCTACTTGGAGGTTTGGGACTTGGGTAAGCAGAGTCATCGGTACCACTATGAACCTTCGTTGGGGGGGTTTATAAGTACATATGAATATGTAGTCGCCTATTTTGTAGCCTACTTATGCACTCAGTCCCCTGATCCAGCCCGGAATCCGCAAGCATGAGGCATGAAGCCTTAGCCCAAGATCGTAGGCTTTCCAGGGAGCCTTCTGAATTTCTGGGAGCCCCAAAAAAAGAATCCCAACGCCTAAGCCCATCATCAGGATCCCCCGAATCTTAAACCCAGAAACCCTAAACCCTAAGCCGTACCGAACCCTAGAATCCTGAACCCCAGGCCCTATCCCCCACCACGTGGAAGGTTTCATCCCGTTTGGTTCTACAACAGCGCTGGTCAGGACAGGGTTTCTTCTTAGGCTTTTAGATATTAAGGTTTAGGATTTCAGGTTTTGGGTTGAGGTTTTGCAATGGGTGTTTGACGTTTGGAGTTGAGGGTTTATGGGTTAGCAGTTTGGGTTTTGCAGGGTTTGGGATGTAGCGCTTGGGGCAGCGGGGTTAGTGCTTTGGGTTTGAGGCTGTGCGGCTAAGAGAGTTTGGGGCCTTGGGTTTGGGGCGTAATACGATGCGTTTAGGTCGATCCCTAAACCCTAAACCCTAAACCCTAAACCCTAAACCCTAAACCCTAAACCCTAATCCAAACAGCATATCTGAGCCAGGGGACCCTAGACCCAAAGCCGTGCCCAGAGACTGGCCTGTCAAAAACCCTAAACCTTAAACCCTAAACCCTAATGCTTGATAACAAGCTCACTCCCATTTAGGGTTTAGGGTTTAGGGGTTTAGGGTTTAGGGTTTAGGGGTTTAGGGGTTTAGGGGTTTGGGGGTTTGGGGTTTGGGGTTTAGGGGTTTACGGTTTAGCGTGTAGGGTTTAGGCACTCCCATCCCCTGGGTTTCGCGCTGGGCAGCCGTAAACCCTAAACCTCACGCCCTAAAGGAAAGAACTCTTCAAGACCGTGAAGCCCAAAAGCGCTCAAGCCCGAACGGCTTGAATCCCAACGTCCTCAACCAGTGGGCCTTCTCTCCGCCATTCCCCGAAGGACTTGAGAGAGATCCAACAGATCCTGAATGATTTCAGGATGTTCAGGGTTAAGGATTGGGTGGGGCTTGAGATTCTGGCTTTCGGGAGCCCGTTTGAATCGAACTGTCCGAGGCGATCGAGAACGAGCTCACTTTGTACTCCATGCGCTCTTCACTCAGGATGGTTTCGGAGTCGAGCGAGGGTTGAAGCCCTCATTGCTCAATAGCCCCACAGAGATTGGGATCTTGAATGAACAATATTGCCGTTTGTAGTCGTTGTCCTTATTTAATTTTGGATTCGGCATCATTGCATTTGTAGTTCCACCAATGATGACTGCAACCGCGACTAGCTGCGATCCCTGGGAACCAGTACCGCTATCCGCTATCGCCGGCGTCGCCACCAATCGTGTCACTCACTGCTTCACAGGTGCTGCAACGGCTGCGACACTTTTGTGTACCAATATTCACCCTGAGCCCTAAACCCCAAACTAAGCCCTCAATCCTAAACCCTGAGCCCTAAACCTCAAGTGAAACCCTAAACCCTAAGCCCTGGGCCCTAAACCCTAAACTAAACCCCAAATCCGAAACC